GGTGTTGCGCTACTTGTGCAGTACGTCGGGCATGGGGCTAGTGCTTGGAGGGCGGAGTCTAGTGGTCCTCAATGGGCACGCGGACGCTTCTTGGGCTGACGACCAGGCTACGCAGCGGTCGTCGCAAGGTTACACCTTCAGTCTTGGTTCCGGCTCTGTTTCGTGGCGGGCTACTCGCTCATCTTCTGTTCTCGGCTCCAGTTGTGAGGCTGAGATCTACGCCGGGGCCATGGCTGCTCAGGAGCTTCGCTGGCTCACCTACCTGCTGACTGACCTTGGAGAGCCGCCTCGTTCTCCTCCAGTGCTGTACGTAGACAACAAGGCCATGCTGGCCTTGTGTCGAGAGCAGCGCCTGGAGCACAGAACGAAGCACATTGCTCTTCGCTACTTTCTTGCTCGTGAGCTGCAGCAGCGTGGTCAGTTGCGACTTGCGTACGTGGCCTTTGAGGCCAACACTGCTGATGTTTTCACCAAGGCACTTCCGCCTTGTGATCATCAGCGTTTCTGTACTCAGCTGGGACTTGTCCCAGTCTTGCCTCACTTGCTCACCTCTTGACCTTACTTGTACTCTTGCATATATATATACCTGCTCTTGCTTGTTTAGACTTATATGTATATGTCTCCTCCTGCATGTGAACCGGCCTTGTGGCCTTGACCTTGTGCTCAGACTGTGTGGTGACGTTGTGATCCACCCTGAGCTTGCTTTGCTTTGCTTTGCTTGACTGGTCTTGTGACCCCTTGTTCTCCCCCACTTTGCCTATGGGGGTGTGTCAGAACATTATAGCTTATGCTTTTGTGTAGGCTATAGTGGGGTATCCCATAGGGGGTACAACCCAATTAGGGTTAGTACTTGTACCCACTTCACTCATAGTTCATTCATTCTCGTTCTATTATTCACAGGTACAGCGACGGATTGCCCAGTACTGATCTACGGGAAGATACAGGGAGCAGCAGTGAAGATTTTTATTGACGGAGGAGCAAGTCACAGTTTAGTTAATACCGCGACCGCACGGAAACTGCAGTTAACACTTAACCGCTGCTTACCTGAGATAGACGCACGCTTAGTCGACGGCACGCCACTGGCCATACGGGAAAAGGTGGAGCGAGTAAAAATCCGCTGCGGAGGGAACTTCGGGTTTACACAGGAAATGCTCGCCACGACACTGGATGGGCACGACATCTTATTGGGACGTGATTGGCTGCGACGGTATAACCCGCGAATTGACTGGACTACGGGTAGCTGCACCATGCGAAGTAGTGGTAACTAGGTCGAACTACCTCGCTGGCGGTCACCCGAGTCTTCAACGGTCCACGTCAACGCCATCATGATGAAACGGGTTGTTGCCGCGGGAGCTGACGTGTACGCAGTGGATATAGCACTAGTAGGAGAAGAGGAGCAGCTGAGCGATTTTCAGAAACTGTTGGCAGCGGTACCGCCCGTACTTCAGGATCTGTTGAAACGGTACCCGGGGATTTTTCCAGACGATTTACCGCAAGGATTGCCACCTCAGCGGGCGCATGACCATAGGATCGAGTTAGAACCGGGGGCACAGCCAACCGTACAGCGCCAGTTCAGACTGACACAGCCCGAGCTCGACGAACTAAGTAAGCAGTTAGATTATTTGTTAGAGAAGCAGTTTATCCGACCGAGCTCGTCACCGTTCGCCGCACCGATATTGTTCACACCGAAAAAAGACGGAGGATTTCGCATGTGCATTGATTAACGATCGCTCAACAGAGTAACAGTCAAATCGCGATACCCCATCCCCCGCGCCGACGAACTGATCGACCAGCTGCGGACAGCACGGGTATTTTCGAAAATAGACTTACGGGGGGGTTACCATCAAATTCGGGTCGAACCATCGGACTTCGCCAAGACAGCATTTAGGACTAGGTACAGGTCATTCGAGTACACGGTGATGCCTTTCGGGCTGATCAACGCGCCCGCAACATTTCAGATGACCATGAACGAGGCGTTTAGGCCACTTTTAGATAAATGCGTGATAATTTACCTCGACGACATCCTCGTTTACAGTCGCGACCAGCAGCAGCACTTAGTCGATCTCGAAGCAGTGTTTAAAATTTTAGAGGAACATCGGTTACTCACCAAGGGCTCCAAGTGCGAGTTTTTTCGGGATAGGCTAGAATTTTTAGGGCACGTTATTTCATAGGCTGGAGTTGAAATCGACCCCAAGAAGCTGGATACCGTAAAAGCGTGGCATCCCCCGACGAACATCACGGAGCTGCAGAGTTTTTTAGGGTTCGTTAATTACGTTCATCGGTTCGTCCCCGACATGGCACGATTAACAGCCCCGCTAACAGATTTACTACGCAAGGGGGTCGCTTTTACGTGGGGGGAGAAAGAGCATGCTGCCTTCTCTGCCCTGAAACATGTTCTCTGTTCACCACCCGTCCTACGCATCGCTGACCCACATCGCCCCTTCGAAGTTGTTACAGACGCAAGCGACATCGCCATTGGAGCCGTACTGTTACAAGACTTCGGCAACGGCCTCCAGCCCATCGCCTACGAATCATGAAAACTGCATCCGCCTGAACGAAATTACCCGATACACGACCGCGAAATGCTCGCGATCGTGCATGCATTCAAGGTGTGGCGCTGCTACTTGACCGGCGCAGACGTAACAGTACGGACAGACCATCGATCCCTACAGTACCTCCGTGCACAGCCCCACCTCAACCCACGACAGATTCGGTGGCTCGATTTCCTCGAGTCAAATTTCCATTATACGGTCACCTTTAAAAAAGGAGCCTCGAATATCGCCGACGCACTGACCCGCCCCACTGCCCAGATCCATGCGATACTACTCGCCCAGACCAGCCCGCTACTGACAGGACTATTTACCCACGGATATCAAACAGATCCATTCTTCACAGGAGGAAACTCGCAGCAATTCGCAGCAGCCAAGGGAGTCTATTACGTAAAAGCTGGGACCAAACGCATTTGGGTACCAGGGTACACACTACTACGGGAATTACTGTTACAGGAGGCACACGACGGAGTTACCTCGGGACATTTCGGAGTAGAGAAAACACGGCAGCAGCTGCAGCGGTATTATTACTGGCCCGAAATGTTGACCGACGTGCAACGACACGTGGCATCGTGTCCCACTTGCCAGATCATGAAGTCAACCCGGAAGCGGCCGGCGGGACAGTTGCAACCAATCCCACCTCCAGAGCGTGCTTGGCAGCAAGTGACGATGGACTTCGTCACGGGGTTACCGGTCGGGACGAGTGGGAATGACGTAATCCTGGTCGTCGTCGATCGACTGACGAAAATGGCACACTTCGCAGCCTGCAAGAAATCAATCACAGCCGAAGAAACAGCCCGCCTCTTCATCTCTACCGTCGTTCGACTGCACGGGATACTAGCATCAATCATCAGCGACAGAGACACGAAGTTTACTAGCAACTTCTGGCGGAACCTGTGGCAGCAGTTCGGCACGCGCCTACAGTTCAGTTCATCGTATCACCCCGAAACCGACGGACAGACCGAACGGACAAACCAGACCATGGAACAGCTCATTAGGGCCACGTGTGATGATCCAAACACGTGGGAACAACAACTGCCACTCATCGAATTCGCATACAACAACGCCCCATCCGCCATGACCCAACAGTCACCATTTTACCTGAATTACGGACAAGACCCAACAGTACCCATGACCCCGAATCCCGACAACCCCGTTCCACGCGCACAACAGTTCGCTGAGATTTTGCAAGCAGCACGAACCAGGGCAGCAGAAGCAATCAAAAAATCAAACATCATCGCTAAACGCAACGCTGACCGCCACCGCAAACCTATCACTTACCAGCCCGACGACCTCGTTTTACTCGACACTCAAAACCTCCGCCTGCCCATCACCCCCAAACTCCGCCCTCGATACTGCGGGCCATTTCGAATTAGCCATATGATAACACCTGTCACCGCGCACCTCCTCCTCCCTACTGACTGGTACGTCAGCCCCTCGTTCCACGTCAGCCTGCTTCGCCCTTACGTACCATCCACAAGCCAACTCCCACGAAATCGCCCAGCCAGCATGGCTCGTCCGCCAACGGAACCAATCATCACCCCCGACAAAATCCTGAGCCACAGAGTTCGCGACCCTCGAGGAGCCCGAAAGATCGAGTTCCTGCTCCGCTGGAAAGACCGTACACCCACCGAGGACAACTGGGTTCCCCTGGACAGAATTGAAAACCACCCTGTTCTCACCGAATATCTGCGCAGCCGAAACTTCAGAGACGTCCACGCTCTTCCGTAAAAAGGACCTCCTCAGGAGGGGGGGTAGTGTAAGGAAAATCCCTTTTCCTTACTTCGCATCCTTGCTCAACGCGTACATCACTGTAGCACCTCAGTCAGCACCGTTACCACTTGCGATCCTCGCATCGACAATCATCCCGCCATCTTAGCACATCGCACCCCGACCTCACGGCTCGGCTGGTAACCCGCGCTCCGGGCCTCCGCTTCGACACTTTCCCAACCTCGGTCCCAGGCTCGTCGCACGACAACCACAGTCCATTACCGTTACCACTGTAGTTTCGCTATATATTCTTCGCTCATGCCTTCGCTCATTGTATTCTTGCTTCGATAGTGCAATTCTCGTTCGTTCACTCAATTGCACTCGTAACACCATAATGGCCATGATGCCTGCCAAACAGGGCGCAAGGTTTGGGCTTCGGGTGCCCAAACCACGGAGGGCACCCTGTTTGGGCATGACGAAGGAGGTTCGTAGAACGTACCGTACCTCCCACTGTGGCATGGGCATCTGCGCCTGAACTAATCAAGATAAAAAAACACAACAGAAACTCTATAACTGAATGTATGTAGGCACCATTAAAAAAAAAACCCCACTTTCTCTTGGTTCTCAGAATTACAAGACCAATCACCCTCATACAGTGGAATGTTAGAAAAAGACACATGGTATTTTAGGGAACACATCACAGCATGCATCCACAAAGCCGCGCGTACACATTACGCACTTCTACGGCTCCTGTGCGTCGACAGAGGAGTTGATGAGATGGTGTAGAAGAATGCCAGCAGCTACACTCACATTCAGACTATCCACCACCTTGAGCCTTCCGCTCTTACTTCCACGTTTCACGCCACTCCCAGCCCCCAGCCCGCGCACATCCCCCACAGTTCCACTTGCCCCATCCTCTCTCTTTCCTGATCCATCCTTCACAGCACCAGCAACAACCTCTCCCTCCTTCCCTTCCCTCTCCCCCTCACCCTCCTCCTCCCCACTTCCCCACCCCTCCTCCTCCGCCGCCTCACCCACACCCCCTCCCTTCCCCACCCCTCCACCAACATCCCCACTAAAACCCGCTCCGCTAATCCGCACAAGGTGCGCGCAGGCGCGCTTCACATTGGTGCGCAGCCCTGCTCCCTCGCTCCCCAGGACGAGCAGCGTGGGGGAGCCTCCAGAGGAGAGGCGGGAGATGGGGATGGCGGAGGGGTCCGCTGCTGCGCCCACCACCAGCCAGCCGTTGGCGGCAGATCGGGCGAGGAAACGCATCATGTTGCTGCACTCATGCACCTGGGGATATGGGGTACATGGGGGATATGGGGTACATGGGGGATATGGGGTACATGGGGTGGGGTACATGGGGTACATGGGGTACATGGAGGACATGGAGTACATGGGGGAAACACCGGGGGGACATGGGGGACACGGGCTTTGGACAGCACAACACACGTTCTCTTTCACTCTGCTCTTTCACTCTGCTCTTTCACTCTGCTCTGACCAGTAAAATGTCCCATGATGTGCCTGCATGATCTCGAGCACGCCTGCACTGGCCTTGGACATTACAGTAGAGAGAGGAGAGCGGAGGGCCGATAAAATGCCCCAACACAGCTCTCAGCATAAGATCAAACACGACGTACCTGCATGATCTCGAGCGCGCCTGCACTGGCCTTGGACACGACAGCAGAGAGCGGGGCGGAGTTCTTAGCACACACCACCACGCCGGCCGCCCCGAGGAAGTGCGCCGACCGCAGAATCGCCCCCAGATTCTGCGGATCCGTCACCTCGTCCAGCGCCACCCACACCGGCGGCGCCACTGCCGCCCCCCCCGCCCCTGCCGCCGCCCCTGTCCCTGCCGGCCCTGCTGCCGTCCCTGCAGCCCCAGCTTCCGCCCCTGCTTCTCCTGCGCCCGCACCACCCAGAGCAGCAGCAGTAGCGCGTGCAGCCGCAGCCGCACCAGCAGACCACACCGGGAGCGCCTCTATGGGCTCTAGCTGCAGCCCAGACGCATCCAACACCAGTCCCTGGTGCGGTCGGTTCCCAGACAGCAGATTCAACTCATGCTTGCTCACCGACAACCGCTCTACACCGCTCTGTTCCGCCACACGCAGCACGCGCTCGACTGCGGCCTTGTCCTTGCGCTTGCCCCCGCCTCTCAGCCCGTCCTGCAGCCCTTCCTGCGTGTAGAGCGTGTGTATGCGGCGGCGGGACGAGAGGAGCGCGGCGAGCACGGGCGAGACGCCGTAGATGGGCTCCCCGCGGAGAGCAGACGGGGTGATAGACGGGGTTCCCCAGCTGCTGTTGCTGTTATCCCACTCGGAATAATTGTTGCTGTAATCGCCGTCGTCGTAGTCACCCTCCCCCTCCGCACCAGAGTCAATATTATCATTGTTATCGTTCTCACTCTCCTTCTCTGCATCACTGAACCGCCCCCGCCCGCTGGGACCTCTGAAAGGCTCCTGGGCTTGAGACCTTCTGAACCGCCCGCTGCTAGACTGAATACTACCATCCATCCCCCTCTCACCTCCTACCCCTCCCCGTGGACCTATGCCGGCCCCCCTCCCTCCTCCCCACCCCCCGTCGCTCACTCCCCACACCCCTTCCCTGCCACCTTGTGACCCCATTTCCCCCCCATCGCCCCCTCTCCCCCACTGTCCGCCGCCCCCCCTCCCCCTCCCTGCGCCCTGCGCGTTCCGCCCGCCGAATTCCCCCCGGCCCCCCCATCCCCCCCTGTCCATTCCGCCATCTGCGCGCCCCTGCGCCCCTCCTCTCATCACCGGCCGCGGGGCTCCCCCGACTGCCCTTCCCCGCCAGTCATCTCCCCCAAACGCATCCCCCCTGCCTTCCGCATCCCCCCAGCCTCCCCTTCCCCCTGCGCCAGGCGCGCTGCTGCGCGGAAGCATGCCCCTTCCGCGCCCAGCTCCCCCGCGCCTGGGCTCCCCAAACCCTTCCCTGTCTCCTTCCGCCTCTCCCCCTGCCCTTCCGCCTGCCTTTCTTCCTGCCACTCCCCCCTCCCCTTCTCCCCACTCCATAGCTGCATAATCCCGCGACCAACCCTTACCTCCCCCTCCCCTCCCTTCCCCTCTCTCGCCTCCGCTTTCTCCGCCCCGTCCCCGCCCAGCGTCTCCCCCCACCCTCTCCCGGCCAGCCCCCTGATCTGCGCCCTTCCGCGCGGCGCCAGGGGGGCTGTCCACGTCCACGTTGGACCAGAACGCCATGACGTCAGCGTCCTCGTCACTACGGGCACTATCCACGTCATCCCAAGACCGTCTCCCGGACTCCCTGCGTGGGGACCTTCCCCCTGTTGCTTCCCCCGCCTCCCTTCCCCCCCTTCCTCCGCCATACTCCTTTCTTCCGCCATATTCCCTTCCGCCCTCATACTGCCTCGCCTGTTGATTATCCCCCCCGAACTCCCGCTCTCCCCCATACTCCTTCCGCCCACCCCACTCCCTGTTCCGCTCCCGCCCCTCATTCCCCCACGCACTCCCACCGCCCCTCTCGCCCCTCTCCCCCCGCAACCCCCTCTCCCCCCACTCCTCTCTTCCCCTTTCGCCACCCTCTCTCCGCCCGCCGTCCCGCCAATCACCTCTCCGCCCCTCCTCCTCTCTCTCATCGTCCTTCCCCCCAACACCGCGAGCGCCTTGCAAATCGTTCGAATCAGGCTTCCAACTAAATTCTCCAGCCTTCTTCTTATAACGACTTCCTCCCCCTCCCCCTCCCCCTCCCCCTCCCCCTCCTCCCCTTCCCCCACCCCACTCCGCAACTGCTCCCCCACTCCCCACCTTCCCCCTCCGCGAATCTCCCTCCCCGTCCCCCCGCTGGAGCGCTTTCAACTGAGACAGCCCATCCTCGAGCCGCCCCCAATTCTTATAAACCCTCATTGTCGCCGAGTCCACCGGCTTCGCGCGATTCCCCGAGATCTCCGGGCGGCCTAAGATCCCCCCGCGCCACCCCTCCGGATCCTCCCACTGGCGCTTGTCGTAATCCCCCCACCTCCGCGCAAGCGGAACTCCCGTCGTCCCGAACCCTTCCCCGTAGTACTTCCCCGTTTTTTTCTCGTCCGCTTTCCCAGTCTTCTTCTTTTTCTTCTTCTTCTCTCTTATTCCCAGGGCCTTATTGGCCTCTCCGCCGGTCTTATCGACTATCCGCAGCCGCTCTTTCCGCCTCGGCGCAACGGAGCCCCCCGCGGAGCTGCCGAATCCGCGCACCCAGCCCGCGCGCGCAGCATCGGCGGGGAAAGAGAGCGCCGCGGCGGCGGGGAAGCTGGCCCAGCTGGCGGAAGCGGGGAGCGCGGATGGCGCAACAAAAGTCGGGAACGCGGAGAGAACAAACGGGAAGGACGCGTGCGTGCCAGATCGCCAGGACGGGGCGGAAGCGGATACGACGGCGGCGGTCAAGAAAGAGGCGGAGGAGGAGGAGATGGTGAGAGATAACGAAGCGCGATAATGACATGTGGCGGATCCGTCGCGAGGAGGGTGGGGAGGCGAGAAGGAGAGACGGCGACTAGAAACGCGAGAAGGAGAAGGAGAAGGACGAGAGCCGAGGAGACCGAGGCAGCAGATATTGCTGCTACCGCTAGAAGAGCGCACGACGCTGGACCGCGCGACGCTAGCGGTGTGCAACAGCCGTGATGATACACACGATCTCCAAACCCCAAACCCTGCCATGGCGCGGCCTCCGCGGGATCCCCACGATGCTTGCGAGGCGAGGGAGCCTTGCGCGTAAATGGATCCTCCGCGAATTGTGCGCACTAGCGCAGGCGCGCTGGCCTTGGCGCACGGATCCGCGCTACGCTTTACGCACTTAGCATAGGCCGCGGACGCCATTTTTCGCGCGCCATGGAACCGCGGAGCAGTGGCGGCATGTGCACAGAGGAGAGACGCGGAAGGGGCGAAGCATGTTGCGGCATGCGCAGGCATTGCTGCGAGATGACAGGCAGAAGAAGGTGCCGCAAGCGCCGTAAGCGGCGGCTGATATTCCGCCGAAGCTACGAGGTTCGAGAGGAAGAGCAAGTGCTTTTGGGCTGCACCATCCGCGTTGTCAGAACTCCCGGTTCTAAACAGCGTGTTTGTTTGCGGAAGTTTTGAAACGATTGTTACACATGGCGGTTGACAAACGAGCTGCCACTCATGTTATATCTAACGCAGTGGTTCATGATGATTGGTGTTAGCTTCTTTTCACTATAATAGCTAATTAACTCTATCAAAATACAAGCATTAGGAAGACATGGCCACCACATTCAACACCAGTGGTCGCTCCACAGACTAGCCAACGCCAATCACACAAGCACTCTAAAACGTGTATCACACAAGCACAGGAGTTGCTAGAAGCCATATATCTGCAACCCCTTTTAGAAGCCCACAAAGAAACAAGCTAGCCTGGAGGATTGGAATGTGAATTCCAGAGAGTAACCTAAGACACAAGATAGGAGGCTTAAGCAGCAGCAGTGTGTTACCAACTGACCAGCAGTCAGCCAGATCCATGAGCTAGAGTTGAAAAAGCAGCAGCGAGAAGCCCAGGGTGTTACGGAGGGCGGTGGTGAGCGATCGCGCTGATAAGGACAGGAGAAGACTGGGATGATAGGATAACAAGGCGTGCGTGAATCCTTTTGAGGAAGAAACGCGTAGATAAGGTAGAGTGTGAAGTGCGTTGCGATAGGATGGGTCATGGGTACAACACCGGGCAGGCGGGCGGGCAGGAGGAGTACGAGCAGAACCACCAGTTACACGGCTCGTATTGCTCACTTTGCAAGAACCATGCCTCAACACATGCTCCTGGCAGCCGTTGCTCAGCGGAAAAGACGAAGACCGAATGAGAGAAGGGAGCATCCCGGTAGCAGCAGCAAAGGGTCAGTTGCTAATAAGAGTTGTGCGCAGAACCAAAGCACCGAATTAAACTCAAGAAGAGGCTTGCGAGTTGTCAGCTTTCTCGCTGTATGAGTAGTAGTCCCTGCGACAGTCTGCCCGCGGCCACAAGAACTCCTGTGAACCCACCTCACTGAGGGGGATACGCAGGCCAGAAGGCAGGCTGTTCTCATACAGCAGCGTACTGCCATCTGTTATCAGGCTGTGCAGCCGTACCTTGCAGAATCCACTCCTGGAAACCACATTCAGGAAAGAGAGATCGGAAAAAATTAGGGGTAGTGGTATTAGATGAAGAACGTGACTCTTGGACACAGTTTTACCCATAGAGGCCCAGACAATCAGCCAAATGCGCTGCGGAACTGCTGACAGGCTTTCGACCAGACTCACCGTTCACACGAGACTATGCGAGCCTTGGCCACATCCTCGTTGTTGTAACGCATGATGATGCTCTGCCCCTTGTGTAGCCCATCCGCGGCCTTCTTGCTGCGACTATTTGGAGAGATCTCCGTCAGCCCGTTGGCCCCAAGATGCGCCATACCACCCGATCCCCCAGCTCCTCCCGCGCCCCCTGCTCCACCCCCAGCAGCGTTTTTCCGTTTCCTCCCTCCGACCTTGACTTCTGCTGGGGGCGGCGGTGCTGCTTCTGGGTGAAACAGCTGCCGCATGTCGTCAGGATCGCAGTGCATGCCGCCCCCGCCCATCCCGCCTGGGCCCATGCCTATCCCCTTCCCCGCGAGCGAGCCTGGTACCGCGCCCATAGCACCAAACGCGTCGTCGCGGCCGCCGTCCACCACGTATGAGAGGTTCACTCCCCCCGGGCCTGCTGCAGGGTCGAGGCACACCGGCGGAGCCACTGCAACCAGGGCAGCAGATGCAAGGTTGGGAGCTGCAAACACGTCAATACGGAATACAAAAAACGCAAGCGTAACCATAAACGGGATGCAAAAGGGGGACACCGTGGGAGTCCTAGCTGGCCAGAGAGCATTGTAAGCCCTTACAAATGACGACCAAAAAGACAGAAAAACAAGCAAAGACGCACAGACAAAGAAAGGAAAACATGGCGGGAAGCCTACCCTTGGTCTACCCGCATCTCCTTACGCGGGCATACATCAGAGTTTACCAGTCCAATGCTCGACCGTGATAATGCAGCCAAGCCTTTCGTGCAGCGAGCCTTTAAACAATCAAGGAACCGGTAAACAAGTCCTGCAAAACGTGCGTAGCAGGATCTGACGGCCTACTGTACAGGCTGACGGCAAACGGTTAGCTGCAACGGCAAGCCGTAAGGCAGGCCGAAGAGCCAAGTCTCGAGCACCTGTGAGCCTATCCGGTGGCGTTGGCACCATCTGCAGAGTTAGCGTTCCATTGGCGGATGGCATCATCCCATGAGCTCCGTGCGCTTGCAACGAGCCCTGACTGTGGGGCGACGTTGCTGCTGCCGGAGCAGCAACAGCGACCAGCGCCGAGGCGGAATGGAGCAGCGAGGACCACGAACGGTGCATTGACGCTGCAGCGGCAGTACCAGAGGAAAAAAAGAAAACCCACCCACCCAGCGACCCTTGGCTTCATAAACACGCGAGACCCTAGATCAGCCATGATACACCATCTTCCAATCAACTAACCAGCAACAAGTACCGAAACTTCATTCCCACCTATCCGTGAGCTCTCATCCCTTCTCACTCCAGCCGTGGGACTGAAAACAACCATAACCCCTCAGATCCAACGCTACACATGGGGGGACGAACGGCATAAACTTACTTGGCTCCGGCGCATCGACGAGCAGTGGAGCAGCAGCGCGATTCCCCTCCCGCAGGTGATCCAACGGGAAATCCTCGGGTACGCAGCCATGATCCGCAGCGGAGTGCCTTATTGAAAACTCAAACACTTCCACGTGGCCCAGCATCTTCGGAAACAGCAGCTTCAGGCGTTTCTTCAGGTGGTCGATGTGCAACTCGTCCTCTTCCAGCTCCACCTCCGTCGGCCGCCCGTGCTTGAAGCGAATCCACAGCGTTCGGCGCAACGGGTTTCCCGCCAGATCCGTCGGCGCGCTGCAGGCGTGAAGCGCGGACCCCGCCGCCGGATCGCCTGGACCCTTGCGCTTCTGCAGCGCTTGCTGCGCCTGCTGCGCCTGTTGTTGCGGATCCGCCGTTTGCATCGCCCCGCCTTGCTGCGGCGACCCCGGCCTCAACTGACGCGGCTGGTTCGGGTCCTGCTGCCGCTGCTCTTGCTGGTCCTGATGCCTCTCCTGCTCTCCCTGCTGGTCCTGATCTTGATCCTGCTGCTGATCGCCTCGTTGGGGTGGGAATCCGGACGCGGTTGCAGCAGCTACAGCTGCAGCAGCGGCTGCCGCTGCTGCTTGAGCAGATTGCGCCATGCTAACATGGTGGAACTGCTGATGGTGCAGAACGGGCATCGGGTGGCCATGTTGGTCGATTTGTCCCAAGCCCAGCGACGCCTGAAGCTGCTGCTGCGAAGTCGGCGAATTATTTTGGCCCTGCTGTTGGGATTGTTGGAAGTGGCGAAGGCTCGACGCAGTTACGTAGTCTCCTTTAGCCAAGGCTTGGTGCTGCATCAGATGATGTTCTCCATGGTGGTGATGGTCAGGGAAGAGCTCTGGTACAAATGAATAAAGTATCATGGTTGAAAACGCAAGCGAGATAAGACAGGCAGCTAACAGGAATGCATAAATGGAAAATGACAGCACATCACTATTGGAAGAGGCATGAACAACGATGTTACAAAAAGACAACATAAAAACGATGCCCAAACCCAGGGAAAAAAAATGACGAGTTAAGAGTTCACAAGAAGCATCCCCGAGCAAGAACCCAAATGGACCTGGAACACAGGCTGGGATGGAGAGGCCATTGATCCACGGTGGTAATAGTAACTTGCAGTACCTCCAGGCATTGCACCGTGCTGCTGCTGCTGCTGCTGAAGGCTCAAATCCATAATCCGGGCCTTATAGCCTCTTTTCTTATGTACTCCAGCACTTGAAGCTTTCGAAACGAGTGAATATTTACGCTACGGAAGCTAAGAATGCGTGTTGCCGACGCCTAGTCCCGCTGGTTCGATTACTGGAGACCGCACGAGCAGGAGTTGGGATTCCTACGATGGGAACGGAGGAGAAACAAAACCTGTTACACAGATACATAAACAAGGGAAGAAAAAAAAAAATGTTAAGAATGCTTTCCGTGGAAGCCTCACAATCATGCTGCCTCCGACACGACGTAATAAAAATATTAAGGCATGCGATGCACGCAGTTCACGGAAGGAATACAAATCACGATAACAGAGCCAGGAACGACGCAGCGTAACAGAGCACGCTGGAGTAGACGAAGCGAATCGAAGATCTAAGACACGTTCACGAAGCAGGCATGGGTAAACAGCACGAGTACACGTTAAACAACACAATGGAAAACTGATCAAGCGAAACCACACATGGATCCCACGATGTTAAGCGAAAAAAAACAGACGGACGTGGGAGGGAGACAATGCAGAGAAAAAAGCAAGCGTTAGTTAAGATAAAAATAGGGATGCAAGCGAACATCCAGAACGAGGTACTCCCCACAGTAAAGAGGATCCGTGTTTAGCGCTCGAGCGACCTAGTTAGCATTCACAATAGTCGACATAGTCTAGGAGCTTCTACATCCACCGAGCTGTAACTCACTAGTCAGCAGGAAAAAAAATTACTGATCCATTGCAGTAGGATTCGGGCCCGCTTCGGCTTCGCGCCTCATGCCGACAGGGAAGCCATGTGCAGATTGCTGGGCATGTCCTAGTGTCCGCGCGCCAGTGTTCCAGGGGAGGAGGGGACACGGAGCTCTGCGGCTAACCGGCAGTGCGGAATGGAAAACAAGGAGCGGAAAAACTAAGAGCGGTCAAATGAGAAGCGGATGGGATAAGCGGGGAGCGGGAAGGGGACTGGAGGTTGGGTTGGGTGGGCTGGCTGGGAGGGACTCGGGACGGGAATCGGGAGTTCCCGGAGGGACCACGGGAGACCCTTGGGCTTGCCGGAAGGGGAAGGGGAGAGCGGTGGGGTTTGGTAGGGTGAGGCCTCGGCAGAAGAGTGGCTTGGAGGGGAACACCAGCAGCAAGGCGGAGGGAAAGCGAGGGTTTCGCTGCAGAAACGACAAGATAGGGGACCTCCTGGGGGCTTGCTCCGCGTCACCAGGGCACCAGTATCCAGATCGACGGCGGTGAGTGCACATCATTGCTGCCTGCCGAAATACACGGTGGGGTTTGTTTCGAAGTTCGAAAGCTCAGATCGAGAGGCCTCGTTATTGTGACACCGTGTCATAAGAACGCATGAATTAAGGTGCAATAGTGTGCTGGCAGATTCAGAAAAGGCTTCACGCGTAAATAACTATACTGACATTCATGTACACCATGTATATGCCTTAGCTTGTCTCAATTTAACCATCTAGCAGTCGTGTATCTATTGTCAAATTACAATATTGTGTAGGCTATAGTGGGGTAGTCCATATGGGGTACACATTTCTAGGGTTGCATATTTGTATCACTTCCATTCCTTAGTCATTCATTCTCGTTCTACTTTCCTCATGGTATCGAGCAGGTTCCCCCGTGGGAACTGTGCCTAGGGCCCATCACATCGACTTTTTTTTCCTGCCCGAAGCGCGCTCCGCCCGATTCGCGCTTCGGGCTCTCACCTCGTCGAGCCGCCCTAGCGGCCCCTACGCCCTAGTGGCCCCTTCCCCTAGCGGCCCCGCCGCCCGTCGCTTCGGCCCCGCCGCCCTTTCGTGCGGTCCTGCCGCCCGTCTCAGCGGCCCCGCCGCCCTTCTCAGCGGCCCCGTCGCCCCGCATTGCGGCCCCGCCGCCCGTCTTCGCGACCCCGTCGACCGTTGCTGCGGCCCCGCCCCTCTCGGCGGCCCCGTCGCCCCACACTTCGGCCCCGCCGCCCTACTCCGCGGCCCCGGCGCCCTACTCAGCGGCCCCGCCGCCCTTCTACTCAGCGGCCCCGCCGTCCTACTCCGTGGCCTCGCCGCCCTTCTGCAGCGGCCCCGCCGCCCTAATCCGCGGCCCGGCCGCTCTTCTCCTGCGGCCCCGCCGCCCTATTCAGCGGCCCCGCCGCCCTACTCCTGCGGCCCCGTCGCCCTACTCAGCGGCCCCGCCGCCCTAATCAGCGGCCCCGCCACCCTTCTCCTGTGGCCCCGCCGCCCTACTCAGCGGCCCCGCCGCCCTTCTACTGCGGCCCCGCCGCCCTTCTCAGCGGCCCCGCCGCCCTACTCAGCGGCCCCGCCGCCCTTCTACTGCGGCCCCGCCGCCCTCCTCAGCGGCCCCGCCATCCCTTTCACCAGCGGCACTGCCGCCCTACACCGCCCGCACCACCCGAGCTGCCCGAGCTGCCCGAGCCGCCCGAGCCGCCCGACTCTCCTGAGCCGCCCGAGCCGCCCGACCAGCCCGAGCCGCCCGAGCCGCCCGAGCCGCCCGACTCTCCTGAGCCGCCCGAGCCGCCCGACCAGCTCGAGCCGCCCGAGCCGCCCGAGCCGCCCGAGCCGCCCGAGCCGCCCGAGCCGCCTGATCAGCCGAGCCGCCGGTGCCGCGGAGCCGCGGTCGCTGCTGTGCCGTCCGAGCAGCCGTGTTGCCGTGTTACTGCACTACTGAGCTGCCCGACCCACCCTGTCCGGTGAGAGCAGAGCTTCTGTCACTGCATTGCCCCTGTCTTACAGTTGGTCCTGCTAGACTACTGCTGTCATGGCTACCCCCAGTGTTCTCGCTTTTGACGCTGAGGGTCGGGCCATTGACTTTGAGGTTTGGGTAGATGACCTGCAGCTCTTCCTACAGTGCGATAGGGCAGACGGTCTCTCCCTCTTTGACCTCACCTCTGGCGCCTCTCCTGCTCCTGCCGCTGATGCTGACCCCACTGTTCGCTCCCAGTGGGCCACACGCGATGCTGCAACACGTCTTGCTGTGCGTCGCCACCTGCCTACCTCTGAGCGCGCGCACTTTAGTCAGTACAAGAGTGCTCAGACCTTGTACGATGCTGTAGTTGCGCGCTACTCTTCCCCTGCCACTGCTGCACTGAGCCGCCTCATGCTACCGTACCTCCTCCCTGACCTTGCTGCCTTTCCCACAGTCGCTGACCTCATTACGCACCTCCGCACTAGTGACACTCGCTACCGCGCCGCGCTTCCTGCTGAGTTCTGCGCCAAGAACCCCCCCCCCATGTACATCACTCTCTATTATATAGTCACCCGCCTCCCTGACTCCCTTCGCGTAGTAAGGGACCACTTCCTCTCAGTCTGTCCCACCACTCTCACTGTCGACCTCCTCGAAAAGGCCCTCCTAGTAGCGGAGAAGAGCATAGTCGCTGTAGGAGCCTCTCGTGGTGACCCTCGCACCCCCATCTTTGAGGGGTGTTCCACTTCCCCCTTGTTGCCCTCTGTCGCCTCTGCTGCTGCGGCCGACCTCGTTGGTCTTGAGTCGGTCGGTGCGGCGGCTGCCCCTAGCGGGAGACGTCGCTCTGGCAAGGGCAAGGGGGGCAAGGGCGCGGGTGGAGCTAGCGGGGGTGGTGGAGGTGGCGGTGGAGGCGGCGGAGGGAGTGGGGGTGGCGGTGGGAGTGGCGGCGGGGGTGGAGGTGGCGGTGGCAGCAGCGCAGGCGGAGGCGGCGGAGGCGGTAGCGGTGGGAGCGGAGGCAGCGGTGGTGGCGGAGGTGGAGGCGGCGGTGGTGGAGGAGGTGGAGCTGGTCGAGGTGGTGCTTTGCAGCGGAGCGGCTCCGGTGGTGGTCAGCGCCAGCAGCAGCACCAGCAGCAGCAGCGTTCTCGGGACATCCCCCCTCCTCAGCATCTCCGTGAGTGGTACACGCAGCGTCAGCGTGGTGGGGGTTTCGGTCCGTGCACCTACGTCCTTCGCTCCGGCGAACGCGCTGGTGAGCAGTGTGGGGGTGCCCACCCCACCCAGCGCTGATTTGGCCGCCTGACGGACGCTTGGCGTCAGCGGTTCCCGGAGGCTAGTGAGATCCCCCGCTGGGGAGAGCTGTCTAGGGCAGGTGTTGCTATCTATGATCTTGACTTTAATGCTATCCTTGCTGCCATGTATGCTGTAACTATTAGTGATGAGGGTGACTGTTACCGGTGTTTTCCGCCCGACCCGAGCATTGGTACTGCTGCGCTAGGTGCTAGTGAGGCTGCTGCTCTA